GGAATAATAGAATCCAGTTCATTGTATTGATGCAAAGGTCAAATTTTAGAAAGCTAAGGTTTAAGATCATTGCCCCTGACATTTAAATGGAGTACATACAAACTCTGATAACATTTTTGAAAAGTACATCTTTATATTGCACATTCTTACCCCTGGGTAAAGTACAAAAGGATGGTCCAAGCTTGAAGTTTGAAAAATTTAATAGCGGGGCTGTGGCTGTGGCTCAGTGGTAGCGCACTTGCCTGGCATGTGTGAGGCACTGGGTTCAATTCTCAGCACCACATATAAATAAATAAAATAAAGATCTAGCAACAATTAAAAAAGAAAGAAAAAGAAAAATTAAATGGCAGTGTGAAAATCGTCCAAATTTTTTTTTTCTGCCAAATTTTTTAATGTTATTTTTTATAACTTTATTTTTTTATGTGGTGCTGAGGATCAAACCCAGTTCCTCACACATGCTAGGCAAATGCTCTACCTCTGAGCCACAACCCCAGGCCCCCAATTTGGGCATATTAAATTAGTAGCATTCTTAGCCTATAATCTACACGCACTGTGAGAAAACAACCATATCTGAAAGGTACAAGGGCTTTGCCAGCCACCAAAATACAAAATGTCTCCATTGCCCTGGCTCCAACGTAAGAACGCTGCTGTGAGTGCAGGGTCACTCAGTACTGCCTCACTTACTGCAGGGTGCCCAAGTCCCAGGCCCTGGACACCCCTGCCAGGGTGAGGCCAGAAACGCCACTCTCAGCTCACTGCGCTTGCGCAGACGGGAAATCCCTGAGGCTTGGTGCTGATGTTGGACTCCCACTAGTTTATTAATTCTTGAAAAGCACATTTTTCAGAGGCGACTAAAGCTGAAGTAACCTCGATGTGGGCTTTTTCTGAGTCAGGCAGTGAGATGGTGAGCCACAGATGGTTGTGTCAGAGGAAGGACGACAGGTCATGGGTGTTCTTCAGACCTAAGTTGAAGCCAGACTTGAATCTGCAGCAAAAATGGAGTGCATGATCCTGGAGCTGTGTTCTTGAAGACATCCAGAGTGTAGACAGGACCCTCCTCTGTATGGGCTGAGGAGCACAGGAGAGGGATTACTGGGGGTGACCACGGCAGGAGTGAGCCTCCGTGTGCGCGTGTCCTGAGTGCAGAATAGCCCAGGGCGGGGCTCCAGGACCTCCGAAGCGTTTGTGGATCTGGCAGCGCTTTTATGACTAGGAAGGCTGGCCTTACCATATGTAAATGTGGGTTGTTGGGCTTAGTTGTCACTGAGTTGGTTACTTACCCAGTCCTCTGCCCTCTCAATTTACAGTCATTTATGGCTTAAGCAGAGAAACGGCACCAAGAGAGAAGTCACGCTTTTGAGCACTAGCATGGGCACAGGAAAGCACACATATCATCTTGGGATAGGAATTTTTAAAGCTGCGAGGTACCTCTAAAACCAGGCTTCTTGGATTAAGCATCCTGTTGGAAACCTTTCCTTTGGACCCTTTCGGTGAAATACTCCGTGTAATCGCACCATTCCCACAGCTCTGACCCCAGGTACCTCCTATGGACTCACATACAGATTTTTGTCACCCTAATATTTCTCCTCGTTCTTTATGTGAGATCATGACTTACTTTACCTCTGTCCTTGCCTCCTCCAAAAGGGAACCCCCAAAAGGAGGAAAGAATTGTTACATTACAAAAATACTAAAGGTAAAGCAATATTGTTGATGCCTAAAAATCAAGATTCAGGTGGGGCTGGGTTGTGGCCTAGCCATAGAGCACTTGCCTAGCATGTGTGAGGCACTGGGTTGGATTCTCAGCATTGCATATGAATAAATGAATAAAATAAAAAGTCCATGGGGCTGAGGTAGAGCACTTGCCTAGGATGTGTGAGGCACTGGGTTCGATTTTCAGCACCACTTAAAAATAAATTAATAAAATAAAGTTATTATGTCCATCTACAACTAAAAATTTTTTTAAAAAAGGTCCATCAACAATTAAAAGCTATATAAAAAAAAATTCAGGTGGATTCGTTTTCTTTTTGTTCTCCAAATTTCTGTTTGGATATGAATATGTTTGATTTTCTTTGCCTGAAGGAACAGCCTTAAGCCTTCCTTCTTCAGATACTGACAGAGGACACTGAGATAAGTCCTCCTTCACAGTGGCTATTTTTAGTTGTCAATTGACCTTTATTTTACTTATTTATATGTGGTGCTGAGAATCAAACCCAGTGCCTCACACATGCTAGATAAGTGCTTTACCATTGAGCTACAACCTCAGCCCAAGAAACCACTTCTTGAATATTACTAATTTTTAAGACATACTTGCCTCACTTAGTAATTCATCAGAAATGTCTTTTCTTCATTTGTTGGTGTAGACCAATATAATTTTTGATAATAGCGTAGTATGCCAGTATATACTACAAATTGTTGAAGAATACATTACTTGGCATTAGACATGTTTCCAGTTGTTTTATCTATCTATCTATCTATCTATCTGGTGCTGAGAATCGAACCCAGTGCCTCACACATGCCAGGCAAGTGCTTTACCACTGAGCCACAACCCTAGCCCATGTTTCCAGTTTTTTATTAAAAATTTCCTAAGTTTGGTGGTGTGGTGCACACTTATAACCTCAGTAATTTGGAGGCTGAGACAGGAGGATCACAATTTTAGGCCAGCCTCGGCAACTTAGCAAGACCCTCAGCAACATAGGAAGACCCTGTCTTATAATAAAAGATAAAAAGGACTGTGAATATAGCTCAGTGTATATAAGTATATATATGAATAAATAAATATATATCTTCAATCCTAGTACACTCATACATTCATAGAAATGAAATTTTTCTAAACATATTATTGTGTGTACAATTTATGTATCTCTGTATTTTTATTTCCTTATGGTAAACTTCTACAAATGAAATGTAGTGTCACAAATCAGACATCTTATGCACCTGCAATATTTGTAATCTTGTAGTATTTGTAATTGGGGTGATTCAGTGACTAAAAATACTACTACTTTTAAAAGCTGACAATTCAACAAAGGACATAAACTATGAATAGGAGTAAGTATAATGCAGTATTCAGGTGCCATACTTTAGGAATTCATGGAAAGGTGGTATTGGTTGAATTCTGGTCATCATTGTAAGCTATTAACAAGTAGGACTGAGCCCATGGAATTTCTATGGAGTTAAGTGGAATTTATTATATAAGCTCTTAGCTTTTATTTATTTATTTATTTATTTTAAGCAATGTTAGATACAAAGAGGGGCTAATGGGATAAGCTGGCTAATGAGATAAGCAGTTGTCTGGAAGACATCATGGTTAACTAGCAAAATAAACACGCTTTTTAAATTCTAATTTGTTATATATGACAGAATGCATTACAATTCATATTGAATGTATTCTGTTTCTGGTTGTATACAGAGTAGAGTCACACCATTTGTGTCTTTATACATGTATTTAGAGTAATGATATCCATCTCATTCCACCATCTTTTCTACCCCCATGCCCCCTCCCTTTCCCTCCCACCCCTTTGCCCTCTCTAGAGTTCATCTAATCCTCCCATGCTCCCTGCCCCCAACCCCATTATGAATCAGCCTCCTTATATCAGAGAAAACATTTGGCATTTGTTTTTTGGGGATTGGCTAACTTCGCTTAGAATTATATTCTCTAACTCCATCCCTTTAGCTGCAAATGCCCATGAGTTTATTCTTTTTTAATGTGGAATAATATTCCATAGAAACATGCTTTTTAAAAATTTTTCAACTTTTTTTTAGTTGTGTTGAACATAATACCTTTATTTTATTTATTTATTTTTATGGGGTGCTGAGGATTGAACCCAGGGCCTCACACGGGCTAGGTGAGTCCTCTAACACTGAGCCACAACTCCAGCCACTGAAACACACTTTTTCGCATGTACATTTGTGCATATGCACACATCTGTGTGCATGTGAATGTACCTACACATGTATGCTTTCAATTAGAGTGTGACAATATTATAATTATGAAATATACTTTAAAACAAAAAAATCAAGATTACAAATAAAAAAGTAATGGTAGCATAGAATTCTGTAACAAGACAGAACAAATTACTTTTTAAAAATGTTTTTCTAATTGTCAATGGACATTTTATTTATTTATATGTGGTGCTGAGAATCAAATCCAGTGCCTCACACATGCTAGGTAAGTGCTCTACCACTGAGCCACAATCCCAGCCCCCCAAATTACTTTTTGAATATATTACTGTCCTGTGACCTTGCTTGAAAGCTTGAAAGCAAGGTCACACGACAGTAATATACTCAAAAAGTAATTTATCATTACTGCCTTCTACTTCTTCTTCCTCTTCCTTTTCCTCAAGGTTGGGATTCAAACTCAGGGTCTCTTGCATGCTAGGCAAGTGCTCCATCACTGAACTACACTCCCTATCTATCTGTCTATCAAATCATATTGTGCATTCTACTTTTTTTATTTCTGTTGACAGTATATTTAAAATATTTTTCATATTCTTACATATATTTCCCTATTTGCATTAAATGACTATTTTATATTATTACATGTAGGTTCCATAATTAACTACACAGCTGGGTTGGACTCTATACAGAACCAGGCCCAAGCAATTTCTTCTGGGTTGTGTTGTCTTCCATATGTGATCAACTTCAGCTGATTCTGATGCCAAAAGAAGTGTTAGTGTGGGTGATGTGGCCTCTTTCAGCCTTAGAGGATCTATTCATAGAAAGACTGAGGTCTAGATCAACCCCCAAGATGGGGATTTGTCCAAGAAACCTCCTGCTRTCATGTCTGGATCTGGTTTCAGTGCAGAGGTGACTTACTTTGCAACCATCTTGTGGGCTTCCTGAGGTTTAGGGGACAGCTTAGATCCATCTTTTTGTTTTTTCCTAAATTATATGTACAGCTGTAGGATACTAATTTTGGAAGGAGCAATGGAAGAGCAGAAAGATCTTTCTGAACTATGTCATAATGTAACACTAAAACTTTCTTTTTCTTTCAGCTCTGGATGCTCTGGAGTTTCAATTCTTCTAGTAGTGGAACCCTGAGGAAAACTGATCAGGTCTTTCATTTTTAAAACATGACCTGTGTAAGTTGATTGTTTGTTTTCTTGCAATATTATTTTAGGTAAGATGGATTATTTTCATTAACCTAAATCTTCCTACTTAAGAAGACCTTCCTAGTTCATTTATCTGCTCTCCAGTTTCTCCTAATGCAATGATTTATGAAAGCAAATAACTCAGATTCCTCCCTACAAGTATTTGCTATCCARTTTGTGTACCAGTTGTCCAATTTACTTATTTTTGTGTGCTTATTCTTCAATCAAATGTTGATAGAACAGTAAAAGAGTTAAGTCCCAGCAGGTAAATATAAGATTCCCTTATACGTCCCTAGTTTGGTGAATGTTGGCCCTATTTGAGTATAACAGGTAGACTTTGAAAAAATGCACGTATGTATTCTTATTTTAAAGGCAAATAAGAGGAAATTTGGTTATCACTTGGTCACAGTCTTATTATGTGATGAGATTTCAAGTCCTTTGAGGTTTTTAGAAAGGTTGGACATGTCACGACTTTTGTCAAGGAATTACTGAGTGACAAATATATTTATTTTGTGGTTGAATGTATTCTGTTGAATTTGGGTGACATTTATTTGATCATGAGTCATCCTATATCATTATATACTCAGACAGGGAAGTGTTGAGTGACAGATGGAGGATGGCAATGGGGGAGAACATTTTCCTATGGAGTAAACGTGGATTTCCTCTCCTGATTTCTAAAAGGACTTTGAAATTTTTTTCCACTTAAGTAGATAAACATAAAGGATGAATTAATTCTGAGATATCCATAATAAAATGGATTGTTACACAGTAAACCCAAAATTTATCAAAACAAAGAAAATTGCCATTATGTGCTCTGAAATAATGATGAACTTGAGACTTGGGGAAATATCTAAGTTTTTCTGTAAAACCTTTTTTGAATATAGAGATTTTTATATTAAATTTGAGAAGGACATACCTTTTTGGTTCTTTTTATTTACTGTTAAAGGTAAAATAATTTAGAAATTTACATTTATTGTTAATTTATGCATTAGGCCCCTAGCAAATTGTGATTATGTCTAATACTTTATTGAATACAGAAACTTGAATTTTATTTCATCCACTGCTCAGCAAACCTAAATTGTTGTGGTTACTCCTAATACAAAGAAAGATTTGCCTGCAGCAATAGAATTCTTCAAGAATGTGTAGATACTCTGCTTTAGTCTGCTACCAGACTCTTAACTATATCACAGCTTTCCTATAAGGTGCTCTTCTCTTCTGCTTTATGAAAACGTTTTTTAAGTTTCATAATGCATGGGTCTGTAGTTTCAGGAATTAGTAACATTCGGGGATGTGGCCATAGACTTCTCTCAGCAGGAGTGGGAATACCTGAACCCTCTTCAGAGGGACTTGTACAGGGATGTGATGTTGGAGAACTATGGGAACCTGGTCTTTCTAGGTAAGTTTATTTGCTTGAAGTAATTTAAAATGTGAACTATGATATGTTAACACAATGATTTTCAAATCTCCCTAAGTTCTGCCAGAATGACAATGACACTGCAATTAAGCACCATCATTTTCTCCATCCTTCAATGACATTCACATCTTCCTATGACATTTATAATAGCCTATTTTCTTTAATATACAAGGGGCCAGGATAAAATTCTGCATATTTATTTAAGTAATAACCATGATTTCCATGTTTATTCCAAAAATTTCTATAGATGTGCTCTTTCATCCTTTGGTCCGTCTGCAAGGACAACATTTGATGAAGATTTCCTGATTTTTCTTTATATGAAAAGAGCCTCTGACTTATACAGTAGTGGATAGCATGAATAGTATTCGTTAAAACTGAAGAATCCTAGCCAGGTATGGGTGTTGCACACCTGTAATCCCAGTGACTTGGGAGGCTGAGGCAGGAGGACTGCAATTTCAAGGCCTGCCTCAGCAATTGGCAAGTCCCTAAGAAACTTAGTGAGACCCTGTCTCCTGACCCTCTCAAAATTAACTCACAAAAAACTAAAGTCCACATTTCATTTCCTGTAACCAATTTTTATGATTTATTGTTGAAAGTTTCAGTCCATGAATTTTGCACTTAATTATTGAATGAAGATTTTGTAAGTCAATCTGGATGTTTCTTGTTTTCCTCTTACAGAAAATGAAATACTTATAATTAGTGTTTATTATGTCCCAAGCACTTTTCTGGGAAAAAATGAATAAAATGATTCAGTCATAAAACAGCTACAACCTGGCCAAAATCATAAGACTGATAAATTTAAGAGGAAGAATTTGTGCCCCAGACCTCTGACTCCAGAGACTTTTGCATTGTTGAACTTTCTCGTAAGAGACAAAAGCTGGCTGGGCACAAGCCTGTAACTGCAGCAGCTTGGGAGGTTGAGGCAGGGGGATTGCAAGATTGAGGCTAGCCTCAGCAACCTAGTGAGGCCCTATCTCAAAATAAAAAAAGAAAAGGTCTGGTTGTAGCTCAGTGGTAAAGTCCTCCTCAATTCAATCCCCAGTACCAAAAAAATAAAAAAGGAGAGAGAGAGAGAGAGAGAGAGAGAGAGAGGGAGGGAGGGAGGGAGGGAGGGAGGGAGATGAAAAAGAAACAGAACACGAGAGAGAGATGGAGAGGGAAGGAGAGAAAGAGAGAAAGACAGACAACTCCTGGCTGGGCACAGTGGTGCTTGCCACCTATATTCCATTATTTATTTGGGAGGCTAAGGCAAGAGGATTTTCTGAGCCCATGAGCTCAAGGTCGGCCAGGAAAAAAACAACAGGACCCTGAAGACAAAAGAGACAGAGCCTGTGTGATTTTAAATTAAAATAAGATTTCACCATACCTGCCTCATTTCTTAAATCATTGCACCCCTCTTTTATTTGAAGTCTTTATCACTAACATTTAATCTTTAGTTCATTACAAATTTAACTAAAGCTCCAGGGTTTCTGTGACTTTGTTTTTATTTTTAATCCATGTGATGTTTCTTTTCTTGTAAGCAGGGCATTCCACTTCTAAGCCAGATGTGGTTGACTTATTGGAGCAAAGAAAAGAGCCCTGGATGTTTCTAAAGGAAGAAACACAAAGACAATACACAGGTATGGGAAAGGGGGAACAGTCAGGGCTGGTAACAACCTGTTTGGTTAGGGAGTCTACAACCTGGGTGTGTTGTAGACTCATGGAACATAGGTCTGTGTCCTGAGAGGAAATAAAGACCTTGGTGTGAGCCAGGGAAGGAACTTCAGCTTTTCCCCATTTATCAATCACCGTATTTTTCTTATCTTTCAAACCCATTTTCAGTGATGGGGCTCTTTTCCTGGGTTCAGTATTTTAACTATATTTTGGAGTCTACTTTTCAGTTCCCCTTTTGCATACACACAAACACATGTATCAATGCAGTGATAGTAAATAAAACTTAAAGGCCCTTGTTTCCAAGAAATTGACATTGCATTAGAGTGAATAGATATGGAAATAAACGGACAACACATCCTTTTCATATCTATCTCTCTCACATTTTTGTTCCTAACAATTTGTTGGAAGGAGAGCAGAGGCGGGGCCATTTAGATAAGGTGACTGACTGGGGATGATTTCTCTTAGGTGGTGGTATTTGAGAAGAGATATTATCTAGAGAAGAATATTCCAAGCTGAAGGAAGAGTTCAGAAGCCTCAGGGGTTTGTTGGGGCAAATCAGGAAAAGTAGATAGAGGGTAAGAGGGAGAGCTATGTGAATTAAAGCAGCATCAGATAGACCAAAATAGAGATCCTGAGAGTGACAAGAAATAAAGTCACACTGTTAGGAGAATCAGATCAGATGAGGAATTGTTGATTTTGAATTGTTAGTGATAAGAATGCTTAGAACCAATAATATAATTAGTTTTTCATTTTCATTTTAAGCCATTTTTTTAAAATATCAAATGAAGACAGAAAACAAATGTGTAGCTTAATGGGTTATAGATGTTAAACAACCATGTCACTATACTCAGGAGTTAAAACTTTTAAAAAACTTTTAAAAATACTCCACACACCTCTTTTTTTATTTTTATGTGGTGCTGAGGATCAAACCCAGTGCCTCATGCATGGTAGGCAAGTGCTCTGCCACTGAGTTATAGCCCCAGCCCAAGTTAAAACTTTTAGAAACTATTTTAATACAATCTCAGAGTTACAAAAAGGTGATGATAATAGCACACAAGATTCTCTACACCCTTCAAAGAATATACATATATGTGAATATGTGTTGTGTTTGTGTGTGTTTGTGTGCCAATGATTGAACCCAGGGACACTTAACCACTGAGCTATATTCCTAGTCTTTTTCATTTTTTATTTTGAAATGGTCTCAATATGTTGCTTAGGGCCTTGCTAAATTGCTGAGGCTCACTTTGAACTTGAGATCCTCCTGCCCCAGCCTCTGGATCACTGGGATGTGCCATGCCAGTCTGGAGATAAACTTTTGTAGTCAATTTTAGATGCTCCAAACATCTCCACCCAATCTCAGACTTCTCTCTCCTGCTAGGTGCAACCAGTATTGCTGTTTTTTTTTCCACTTGTTTCTTTGAATGCTTAAAACCAATAATATAATTAGTCCTAGGGATGGAACCCAGGGCTTCGTTCATGCTTGGCAAGTACTTCCACTGAGCTATCCTCCTAGCCCCACTATTGTAATTTTAATAGTGATAAGCCTCTTCCTGTTTTTCTTCCTCCAGTTTTTATATGTCATTTAAGTCTTCTTTAATCTCTAAATTTCCTTTTCATCTTTCTCTCTCCCTCCCTCCCCCCCCTCTCTTTGTTCCTAACCATTTGTTTGCTCAAGAAAAAATATTCCAGCTGGGCGCATAGTACATGCCTATAATCCCAGTGGCTCTGAAGCTGAGGCAGAAGAATCCAAGGTTCAAAGCCAGCCTCAATCAGCAATTTAGTGAGGCTCTAAACAACTCAGTGAGACCCTGTCTCTAAATAAAATATAAAAAAGGTCTGGGGATGTGGCTTAGTGTATAAGCACCCCTGGGTTCAATCACTGGTAACAAAACAAAACAAAACAAAAAATGAAGCTTAATCAGATTTAGATTCAATTGTATTCTTCCCATTTGTACCACATCACAAAACAATGATAGTTCATTGCATTGACAATGCTAATATGATAGTTTAGGTAAATGGAACTTTGTGCCCCAGGTAGTGCTAAGAATGTGCCATTTTCTCTTTTTTTTTAACCAATAAATAATCTGCAGTGTGATACTGTGGGCACTGTATTTCCCCACAAGTATTCCCTAGTAATGACTGAAGCAGTTAAGATGGTAGTGACTTTTCTGTCATTTCATTCTACATTCACTGTCACTCTTTTTCTTATTTTTTTTTTTACTGTCATTCTTTTATGAAGAACTCTTGGTTTTTATTTTATTTTTAATTATTACAGACTTTCAAATTTTATTTATTATTTTAAAATTTTTTTTATTTTGAAATAATTTTAAATTTATGTAAGTATTACAGAGATGATATAGTTACTGTTTACCCTTCACTCAGCTTTCCCAATTATTAATAGCAATACATTTATCAAAACAAAGCATGTACTTGTATTCCTAGCTACTGTGGAGGCTGAGGGAGGAGGGTAGCTTGGACTCCATGCTCAGTGAGGCTTCCTCTGGGGGGGGGACATCTAAGCAATTAACATTTATACAATACTACTGRTACTAGTAAATGGTAGGCTTTATTCACATTTCATCAGTGTTTTTACTGATTTCTTTTTCTGATTTAGGACTTGATCCAAAATACTATTTAGTCACTATCATATTAGCATGTTTCTCTAGTCTTTTTCCAATCTATGCCAGTTCCATGGACTTCCTGTCTTTCATGTCCTTGGCACTTTCTGAGAGGATAGTTACTAGGAGGCAGAATATTTCTCAATTTRGTTTGGTCTAATAACTTTCTTATAAGTAAATTGTATTTTTGGTAATAATCCCGTAGAGAGAATGGTGTGTCCTTCTCAGTACATTATGTCAGTGGAGTGCCGATGTGTGTTATTACTGGTGCTCTTAAAACTGATCGTGGTAAATGGAGGTCTGTTGAGTTTCTTTGTAGCAAAATTATTATGTTTACYTTTAAAACTAATAAATATCTTGGGGGAGGTTCTCTAAAACAATATGAATATCCTATTTCATTTCCAACCCACTGACTTTCAGCAGCCATCAGAGTATTTTGCTTGCACCAGTTTTTACTTCAGTGTTTGCCTAATGGTAGTTTTTATATTTTCCTTTTTATAAGTTTATTAATTGGAATTCTTCTATGAGGAAGAACTCTTTCTTCTCTCTTTTCACTTATTTATTCCACTGTTTATATTGGTGTAGACTCATTGACGTGTATTTATTCCTGGGTTATAATCCAGTACTGTGACTATTTTTATTCAGCTCTGACCTTTGGGAGCTCTTTCAGGTAGGCTCCAGTGCTCTTTCAAYTTGTACCAGCCTTTGGTGAGAAAGTCTTACTCTTTGGCACTATGGTTGTTATTCTAGGATCATATTTTTCTGCCCCAGCCCTAGAATCAATGACTTCTCCAAGGATCCCAGGTTCCTTTTATTGGAAACTGGTATTTAGAAATCCAGATCGAGACACTAGGTATGCTTATTGCTCCTGGGCTCTTTTAGCTACTAGGTTCTCTTCAGCTGACACAGCTGGGTAGTGTGTTACTATGTGTGGTGATGTGGCTAACTGTTTCTGAGTACTTTCCTGTTGTTTGAAAGCTGCAACACCAAAACAAGCTTTCTATGAAACTCAAGCTCCAAATCACATGTGTGAACGTCAGCCTTCATAGTTTGAAACACATTAAAGGCAGTTGTATTTCTTACCACCAAAAATGTTTTTTTTTTTAGATTCATCATGTTCATATGAAGGAATGGCCCCACTGGCATAAAATCTAATCCTTTATCCAAATGCAATGAAAATAATTAAAAACTAGTCAAGGTTTTCCCGTGTTTAAATTAGGGCAAAAAGATAAGCAATACAATATTTTACCCTCCAATTTAAACTATAAGACTAACAAAAGTAAGGTGATTGGAAAATAAGGATAGTTTAAAAAAAATCTTTAAATACATGTTTATATTTTATTAATTTTTAATAAAAATTTCAGGTTACAATTGATAAATTAAAACATTGCAATGTCTATAATACATAATTATATACCTCTATAAAATATGTCCTAAGCAGTTACTGATATATTTGGAAGCAACTGATTTTTGTCTGAAGATATCTTATTGTTACATCTTTGTTATTATGGTAATTGTTACAATTTTGAGTTGGACTTACTTGTTCTTAACTTTTTCTCCTTTTGGAATGTTTGAGGAAATATGCCAGAAAACCATTGGAGCTTTGAGTTTC